GAGAGAGTCTGTTCAAACCCTGGGTTCAAACTCTTCACCTTCTAAAATCAACAGTTTAAACTTTTAGTGGTTCGGAGTTGTGTGAGTTCAACTTAAAGTTCGAAACCTAGAGTTCGGAAGAAATTTAATGTTCGAACTCTAGTCGAGTTCCACGTCCAAAAACCCGGATTTGGACTCTAAGATCTTGAGTTTGAACATTCCCCAAAAACGCGTTGACCTACGCTGCCGGATCTTGCTGTGCCGACAGTTTCGTAGCTCCATCCGTCCGGCTCTAGGGCCTTTATGGAAGTTTGGCGAAGGCTTTCTCCATGGCCTCCTTGGCAAAGGCTACAGTGCTCTGCGCCTTTTGCTGCCGATGTGATCATGCTGCAAGAGACTCATACGGCTGAGAAGCTGCAGGATTTGGTGTGGCTTCTTCTTCTTTTGTTTGGTGGTTGCGTTGTTTGAGTTTGTGGTTTTTTTCATTTTAGTTTGCTCTCGTTTTATTTTCGTCCCATTACTTCTTCTTCTCTCATTTTATTTTTTCGCAAAAGCCACCCCACAAAGCGATTTCGTGTGGCTTCTCTTCTCTTGTTTGGTGGTTGCGTCTTGTTTGAGTTTGTGGTTTTTTCATTTTAGTTTGCTCTCATTTTATTTTCTTCGCAAACCACCCCAATAAAGCGATTTCGAAAACCCACCATTTTCGTTTCGTTTCGTACATTTCTTCTTCTTTTGAGTTGAAGAAATACAGGTCTTTCAAGCCCTCTTGTACAGTATCTGGATAGTCATGTTGTTGACCATGGACACATTTGGCTCAAGACACAAAAAAAGGGTGAATTGCACGTTGTGTCTTGCTTTACGTGTATACCACGCAAATAACTGGTTGACAGCCTCAGCTACGTGGACACTTTGGTAGGTTGATTGGTAGATCCTCTCGCCGCCATTGTGCCCCTCCATATTTCAGATCTTCACTCTCCCGTCCTTGGTAGAGAGTTGCTCATTGCACTGAAACGAGCCAGAGCCAGGCTCATCACCTTTTCATACCTGTGCAGGTCACCGTTGGATTTCCACGTGACCCAAAGAGATTGGCATAACGTACCTCCATATTTGGGTTCAATTCATCAAAGCATTGCGCGAGAAGCGCAGGACACGCTTGTGGATTGAACAGCCAACAAACCATTGGAGAAGGCTTATTGTAGGTGCCATTGATTCGTGGTACCGCATAAGCTCTTTGATCTGACAACTAACTCGGATCCACAGACTTCAACAACTGCGATACGCAGACGACGCGTTGAGCTTCGGGTTGCCTAGGCCTAGGTATTACCCTTGACAGGCTTTTGACGCGCCTGCCGCCGCTGCTTGCTCCGAGGTACGCTTGGTGAAACCCAGACTGCCTTTTTGACAAACGACCACCCATAACCTCTTGGCAATTGCCTAGTACGAGGGGCGGGCTTATTCGGTCGTTGCGTAGGGTTGTCTTTGTGGGGTTGTTCGGTTGAGTTCCTTAGCGGTTGACTCCCGTGCACCCCAACTGCAAACAGAACATCAGCACCGTTGGACGCTCCACGTGCTGCATCAACCATCCTGTTTCAGGGCTTTCGGGGGTCGTTGTTACGCCACACTCCTTTGCCCTGTGCGGCTCAGATCAGCCGGTTGACTGCTGAGTTTCCTTCCCATTGACCATCACCGAGACCCCAATCCCATTTCAATCGTTAATCCCGGCCTAAACTGAAGTCCAGCTCAGGCATTGCGCATTTCCCAACCTTTTTGTGCATAGGCTTGCCACCATTGCCTAGGCTTACGGGGTTGGATTCTGGGAATATTGGGTGACATTACTCGGCCTCGCCAGCCTTGTCTCGGCGCTAGATTCGCAAAGGCTTGCCACCAGTGCCTAGGCTTCAGGGAGGTTCGAGATTGGGATCAGATTCGGTTGGGTTACCTTTGTCGGCCTCGCCAGCCAAATCTCGGCTTTGTTTTACCCCATGGTTGCGTGGGACGATTTCGTTGCGGCGTACGGCCGGATTGATACAGCAGAAGACTTGAGTGGTCGTATTGAGAAGGCGGCGAGCAGGGGAGGCGATCAGGCACCCAATGGAACATCCGACTACCGTCGTCGGAAGGCCGTGCTGTTCGTCGCTCTCAGGGCTATCATACAGATTGTTTTGACTTTGGAGAGCCCCGGTCTTGATCTACTTCGTATTAGAGAGGCCGAGTTGGAGGGTTCCCAGTCATTGCCAAGGGGGTACGTGCAAACCTACGTGTTGGAACTGTTTTCTGAGCTCCGCGCCCTCTTCCCTTCTGTACCTGAGCCTGCGACTCCTCCTGCTGCGGAGAGAGGGCGAACTCGTTCGCCTGCACGTGCCGCTTCAGCAAATAGAAACCATGATTTAGGTGTAGGTGAAACCTTGCCTAGTGGTCGACCCTGTCCTCCTCAGCCACCCGTTAAATCCCCAGGTCCATCTCGTGCCCCATCGATCCCTGGCAGAGCTGTCAAGTCAAAGGCAAGACCTCGTACGAGCCAGGACTGGGATGCAGAATACCCAACTTTAGCAGAATCGTTTCAGTTGAGTTCCCAAACACATCGGGATTTCAAATCGGGTGAGGTTTGTGATTGGACAGTAGAGCAGTGGGAAGAATACAACGCCCGGGAAGAACAACGGTCCCTACAGGCTTCTTCTTCTGCTGCTGCGTCCATTGGCCCGCGTGTTCCAGTCTCTTCGCCCTCCGTTGTTGTTGTGCCGGATGAGCCAACTTTTAATGGACCTGAGTCGGCGTTTGATGGATCTGAGACCGCGTCGTTTGATGGACCCGAGGCTGCGCCGACCGATGCACCTGTGATTACGCCGGCGTTTCTTGCGTTTGACTTTCACGGTGTGCTCGACGTTTCCTTTGCCGATGCTCGATACCTGTTGGCTGAGCTTCAGGGGAACCTCCCACCAGGCCTGTCGGTTGAGGCGATCTGCTTGACTTATTCTGGGTATGAACGCGGATTGCAAACTCAAGAGTCTTTGCGGCGTGAGCTACCCCAGCTTGAGTCTTTTATCTGCAGACGTCCATTGGGCCGCGGCGGGAAGGCAGAGGCATTGGAATGGTATAGCAGGGACAGAGGCATCCCGCGGAGTTCCATTGGTATGGTAGACGATCGTACAGACATCCTCCGCGAGGTGCGCGACCGTGGGTTTGTTGGCTTTCACTTGCCCGCTGGCCAAGATCTGTCATCGCTGCTGCCCTCCATCACTCAGTGGCTGATGGAACTGTAAAAGGTGTTTTCAGGTATTCATCACCTCCCTTATTCTTGTGTGTGCTGCGGCACTTTGCTACGTCTGCACCCAAGTTGAGGGTTAACTTCGGATTTTGTTCTTAGGACTTTGGGGTGTCCAAAGTCGCCAAATCAATAGGTTCACAACCACATGCCCGTGAACCTATTGTTTCGTGTGGTGCGGTGATCTATCGGAACTCTACGGGCTGCCAGGAAAGCCGCACAAGGACACTCACAAACCCGCTTTTCGGAAAGCCGGAGCCCCGAATCGATAGGTTCACAACCACATGCCCGTGAACCTATTGTTTCGTGTGGTGCGGTGTTCAGGGTTTCTTTGAAGTTCCCATCGTGTAAACACCATGGCGTCCTCTCCAGACAACACTTCCCCCGAACAGGGATCCGCTGACTCACTTCAGGTTTCGTCGAGCAGCGGGCATCAAGTAGCCGCGATGTCGGTTGTTCCGGTTGGTGGGGTTTCGATTGGTGACGATAGTGAATCTTCACCAAGGCCTAGGCGAGCAGTGAGCGCCGGAAACCGGCGTGGCCCAAGTCCTTACCCCGTTACCCCCGGTAACACATCACGCCGAAATCGAGCTTCTTCCACATCGACTAAAGCGAAAGCCGAAGCTTTAGCGTCGATTCCACCGCCTGCTTATGCATGTGAGGTTTCTAGACCTGTTGGGATTCCGGTTTCGTTCGCACCGGGCGATGGTCACTCCACCCCGGATGTGCACTTACACCAGCATAACCAGCAGGTTCGACAGGAAGTGCATTTGCATGGGGTTGACCCTAGAAGGCCCACTCTCAGGCCATTGCCTCCGCACAGTTGGCACACATGCAGGCTCAGAGCATCCAACATCAAGCGCAAGCATTGGTTCAGGGTGTCGCGATTGAAGCACAAAGTGCAGTAAGTTCGGCACAACAGGATGCCAGACAACAGGCTTTTGAGTATAGCAATAAGCTTCGGGATGAGGCCGAACGACAGGTACTCATTATATCCCAGGAGGCTCAACAAACCATTGCCGAGCTCAGAGCCCGTAATCAGCAGCTGGAACAACAACAGAATGAGCTATTGCAAAGGCTTTCAGAGCTTCAAGCCCAAGCCAGGCCGCCACCCGCAACGGCTTCACAGGCACCACCGGTTTCAGACCATAATGGCACGGACATTGGTGAAGCTTTGAAGGCGCTGGCATCGAGTGTTGGGGAAACCATGCGAGAGCTTAAGGAGATTGTTAGTCCAAAAGCCAAGAAGAAGGTCAAACCTAAGCCGAAACAATCATCAAAGCCTCACGTGAACATGTTCACTGGTACCGTGACGGCCTCTGCACCTAACTCGTATGGGTATAGTTGTGCTCCGCGGTTGCCTGTATTCACTGGGGTTGGACTTCCTTCGCCACCATCGCCGAAGAAGGGATCATCGAAGCATCAATTGTTCTCTACGCCCAAGCCCCCTCCCGGTAGGCATCCTCCCGCGCCACCAGAAATGTTTGACATCGGTTCGGAACATGAGGAAGGGGAAGAGGAAGATGACATTGAGCATGATCCCGTAATTAATCCCGATGATGAAGATTACGAGGGTTCAACGTACCACATCAAGGATCTTCGCGAACTTAAACTCCCCACTCTACCAGTGTCAGCCGCTGGTTTTAGATCGTGGAAAAACGGGGTGTTAACACAGTTCGGAAGTATAGATAAGTCGGGCGAGGCACGCATCCTCAGGTGGTTGCAGGCTGCACATGATCCCAACATCACCGATCGGGCGATGGCTAAGATGCAGACTGACTCAGATGGGTTGCCCCGGTTGGACGCGTACCTCGCAGCTCAGGTCACTGACCCGAAACACCTCAAAGGGGAGTTCGGGGTCACCGCTCAGTCATTCGTTGAAAGGGCTCATGCGCTTGGGGCTTTACCTTCAGGGCGAGTCCTTCTTGCGATGTTGAGCAAGCGATTCCGAGTTGATAGAATCAGGGGGGCAACGGTCTCACAACAGACTTTCCTTGCGATTCAGCTCGAGGGTTTTAGCCAACAACATCTTCAGACATTCCGTGAACGCGTCGAGTTCTGTTTGAATGGCTTCAGCCCAGACGCTTGGCCTGCCGAGAATACCATGTTCTCATGGTTATACGCGAAACTGAAACATTGCCGTTTGCTTTCCAGGGCCATTGACAAAATCAAAGATTCAAGTCCATCGAGCAACAAGCGCACTTTCAACTGGTTGTGGACTCAACTTGTTGAGCTCCTCGACGAGCTCCGGGAAGAGGCCAACGAGGAATCAATCAGGGATGCATTGTTGCGGCCCGGGACCGAAAGCCCATCGGCACCGAAGAAAGGAGAGCAGCAGAAAGCTGCACCAGCATCTCCAACGCCTGCCGCTCCTGCTCCTCCGACCGGTCCCAAGGGTGGAAAAGATCGGGAGCAGAAGGGTAAGGGCGATAAGGACAAGGGTAAAGGTAAAGGTGACGCCAAAGGCGATCAGCCAAAGAAGCCGCCCAAGAAGTCAAAGGCAAAGGGTGAAGGCAAAGGTGCAAAGGCCGAGAGCAAAGCTCCGCCAAAGGAGAATCCACCCAAAGCGCCATGCCTTTTCTTTCCGAAAGGAACCTGCAACCGAGGTGCAAATTGTCCATTCTCACATGAGACAGCTCCCGGAAAATCCAATGCGCCAAAGGCCAATGGAGCAGCTGCCACGGCAAAGAGCTCTGCCGCGGCTGTCGCCCTGATGCTTCCCACTACGGCTCAGGGTATCTCGGTCGATGGACGTTCCACGCCGAGTACGACAAGCTTTTGGAAAAGATCGGGACTGAGTTACTTGTTCCGCACCGTTGTCGGTTGGCTCTCTGTCTGTAGCCATGCCTTACCAGCTGTCCTGCCAAGGGTTACAGAGATAGCTTTGCCAGGATACCAGACAGGTCCTTTTCAGCTCGAGTGGATCGCTGATTCTGGAGCCGGCCGCAACTTGACGTCTCTCAAGGCGCTTCAGCGCCAAGGAATCCCACCTGATATAGGCTTGCGGCTTGCAGGCTTTTCAGGCCGAACAGCCGATTCACTTCTCCACCGGTAATGGCGTTGTCACTTCTCACGAAGTCTTGACCTGTGAGGGCCAAGACTTTGGACAGAACACAGCATACCTCATGAACGATTGTCCCGTCGTAAGGTCAATGGGTGAGATAGTAAACGGTGGCCAGTTGCCTTTCCTTTGGCTTCCTGGTCAATTGCCCTGCGTTCTCAAATCCAGCAACCACGTGCAAGCAGACCTTAGTGGGGCCCTGTTCGCCGATCGTGTTGAGGGAAATGTGCCTGTTTTCAAACAACAAGTGTCTTTCGCTGTTGCCGCGCACGCCACAAACGACAGGTCCCCGTCACCATCGTCCCCGCTGCTACCTCCTGGCGAGGGCTCTGCCGAGCCTCCCAGTCGAGTCCTTAATGAAGGATCTGCACGCGCCGAGCCTTCAAAAGATGACGCAGCACAAGGAGACTCTGATGACGGAGAAGAACCCCTCTCCAAAGACGTACGCCTCGTGCGTGAAGCTGCATCCTTGGAACATCGCCTGTGCCACTTCCCCAAGAACCCAGCTTGTCACATCTGTTCACAATCCCGAATGTACCGCAAAAAGGTCGAGAAACTTAGGCGTGATCCTTTGGTTGACCGCGGGGCCCTTCCTGAAGTAGAAGAGTTTGGGGAGCGTGTAGCCGCGGATGTGATAATCGTCGTCAAAACTAAGCCGAAGCCAAAGGACGGCAGTGAAGCTGGAGGTCACTCCAGCGTTGCTGCGGAATCCACGGTACTTGTGGTAAGGGACGAGTTTTCTGGTTACTTACGAGCTTTCCCTCTCACCCAACGGAACACAGAAAACGTTGTAAAGGGCTTGCTACAGTTCGTTGGCCGACACGTGAAGAAGCCGATGATCATGTTCAAGAGTGACAATGCACGAGAACTCGAAGCCGCCTGCCAACAGTTAGGCTGGGTGAGTGAACCTACCCTTGCAAACCGCTGGCCGCATAACAGTGTTCTAGAAAGGGATATTAGGACCTTACAGGAAGTAGCGCGTGCTGTTCACTTGCAGTCTGGTTTCCAAATCAGACCCGGTCTGTGGCCTCACAGTTGCGTCTACGCCGCCTTCGTGCTCAACCTGAAGCACAAGCTCAAAGACGCTGAACACACTCGCTACGTCGCTGCTGTTGGTTCTGAGTTTCCCGGTCGCCGCCTGTTGCTTGGCCAACTCGTCTTCTATCGGACTGACCCATCTCACAGAGGGAAGTTCGATCCTTCTGCTGCTCCCGGCTTGTTTGCCGGCTGGCGCCTCGACAGTGGACCAGAGTCTTACAAGGGTGTTTACCTCGTCTTAGACTACAAGCGTGTCAAAGACGACTCAGCAAGTGCATCCCTTCCAATCTCTGTCCCACTAGAAGAACTCCACGTTCCTGAGGGCGAGCCTGTGCTCCCAATGCGGGCCGCTTTCGAAAAGGCGTTAGAAGGGTTTGCGGAACCTAAGTTTGAAGACGTTGCTGGTCTAGAGATACCGTTTTCGCCTTTAGCTGTAGATGCTAAACCCTCTACAAGACACGAGTATATCACCCTTGACAGAATCATCAATTACGGCCCCACACCTGGATGCAGGGCTTGTAGCTTCGATTCTAAAGTTCACAGTCCCATTTGCAAAGTTCGTTTCGACGGATTAGTGCGCGCGGACAAGGTTGCAAATGCTCGTGTAAAGGACAAAGTCCCTGTAGAGAGAGAGGCTGAGAAGGCACCAGAGCCAGAGCTTGCCTACGAAGACGTTCTCGAGAGGATTGAAGACAAGCTGCTCGACGGCCTTCCCCCTGCTGAGCCGCGTGCGGTGTCGCATGCACCTGACGCAAACGACCATCTCTCTGACTACGAACCATCTGACGATGGCGGTTCCGCACCAGTTGTCGGAGCGACAGCGCAGACTGCCTCCGAGCCTGCACCTGGCCACCTTACCACTGTCCGCACAGTGCCAGACCAAAGTTTCCTGGAACGTGACCACTCACTTCGCCGCTCCTGCAGGTTTGAGGCTTTGCCCGGAAAGAACCAACTCGTTGAGTACTGCTGTGAAGACGACAGCGAAATCGGCCTTGCAGCAGCAAGCCACCGTGTAAACTGCTTGAGGCTCACAACGTCCACGCTCGACCTTGCTGAGCCAACCCACGTTGAGCAAGTTATTGGCCAGCTCAAGCCTGGAGCTTGCGGTCATTTCAGCTTGCCTTCTGCGGACTTTTGTCCTTCGCAGCGTATGAACAAACACCGCCACGGTGCAGCGTACACTGCCAGACTTAAGAAGCGACAGCAGCATACACGTGTCATGCTCAGTCTTGCTCTCCAAGTAGCATCCCATATGATTGAGCAGGGGGGACATGTAAGCTTTCAGTGGCCTGCGACCAACCAGCTTTGGCAAGAACCGTCGTGGCTAGAGTTTGAAGAGAAGTTCAACTTAAGAAGGGTGTACTTTCACAGTTGCTCTTTAGGCGTAAGAGGAAAAGAGAACCCCGTCAAGGAACACTGGGCTATCTCCACTACGTCACTAAGAGTGCTACAGTTGTATGGCCAACACCAAAGCTCAGGAGACCACGAGCACGAAACTGCTGACTGCTCTGTCACCTTGAGTACCGGCCTCAACAACTCACACTGTGCCAATCTTTTGATTGAAGCTCTCTACCCACAGCTGTTCTACAGCAGTATCCCAGCAATGTGTGCAACGAACGCACTTGTCACAAAGAACCTGAGCAGAAGCGAATGGCTCAAAGACTTACAAGGCGTTAACTCGGTACAAAAGGAAGCCGAGGGCCTCCGCAGCAACCAGACCTGGGATGACGACTCTGTTCGGCCTGTATGGCAGCTCAAGAAGGAATCCAAAGAATCTGGTCAGAAAATAAAAGTCGCGGAGCTGCTCACATTGTGCGGAATCAAACACTTTGAGCTCGGACCACAACACCACCGCTACAAAGGACGGATCGTCTACAGAGGCGATTACGTCACCGACGCCAGTGGGAACCAGGTTTACTTTGAAGACACCGCAACGACGCCCACCGGCTTGGTCGGTTTGGGAGTCACCCTGTGGTACGGCCTCAGACCTGGAAACTCAACCTCGTGCTCAGACTGTGTGCAAGCCTACCTCCAGGCCTCCATAGGCGATGGCACCTGGGTGATCATCCCACCCGAGCTTTGGCTGCCTTCGTGGCACCAAAGGTTCCCTGCAGGGACCAAGCTCGTAGTTCAGCTGCAGAAATCGTTATACGGGCATCCAGAGTCCGGACGGAGATGGCAGCTGTTCCTAGAGAAACACTTGCGTCAACTCGGAGGCGTAGAATGCCCCGAGTACCCGTCCAACTGGATCGTCCGTCGGAACGGAAAGACCTAATACTCAATGTCAGTAGACGACTTGACTCTGAGCGGACCAACTGAACTTCACCAGCAGTTCTGGCACGAGCTAAGGTCTAGGGTAAAACTCGACCCAGAAGTCTACGTAGAATCGGGTGATAAGGGTTGTCGTATCTTAGGTAGACACCACAGCTTTCTGCGTGAAACGCCGCAAGGCACGAGTCCATCGACCTGTGAGTTTGACATGCGCTCGTACGCAGCACAGCTTGTCGACTTCTACTGCGAGGTCGCCGGCGTCACCAAAGACAAGCTACGCAACTTTCCGTCCCCTTGTTATCCGGAGAACCAGCTCACCGATGCTGATCTTGAGACAGAAGGTGAATTGCATCATGCTGCGTCGCGCATTCTTATGCGAGGCCTGTGGCTAAGTCGCCTTGCTCGGCCTGACCTGTCTTTTGCAATCTCCCGATTAGCATCGAGGGTAACAAAATGGACCAAATTTGAAGATCGCCAGTTGATGCGTTGCATTTCATATCTCCATCACACGACACACCTCACGTTGCGCGGGGCAGTTTCGCAAACTGATTTCTCTTGCAACATCGAAGTGTTTACCGATGCAGATTTTGCATCTTGCCCGTACAGTGCCAAAAGCACGTCCGGCATCATCATAATGCTGCGCACCGGTGAATCTTACTTTCCTGTCCATTGGTTGTCTAGGAAACAATCATCAACGGCCAGAAGCACCACGGAAGCCGAAATGATCGCGCTTGCTGCAGCGATGTTCTCCGAGGCCGAGAACTTGCAAACATTCCTAGAGTCTCTGCTTGACGCTGCAGTTTCGGTGTCCTACCAACAAGATAACGAAACGGTGCTCGCGATCCTCAAGGCAGGTTATAGCGCGAAACTTCGACACATGAACCGAGTTCATCGTGTTAACGTCGCCTCCGTGTGCGAAAGGCTTGCAGAAGAACGCGTCCAAGCTGTTTACTGCAGCACCAAACTTCAGAAGGCTAACGGGTTTACGAAGGTCATATCGCCTCAAGAATGGCCTCTAGTTCTGAGTCAGCTGTGCCTTTTGCCTGCCACTGACAAGGCATTAGCAACTCCAGCCCAAGATCTTTCAGCTGATGCCCTTGTGTTAGCAGATCCTCGCGCGGCCGCAGGCTTAGTTCCTCGCCGCGTCGAAGAGCAGCACATTCTGCATTTGCTGACGCTCCTTCCTCACGACGGAGCGCGCAGAGGTCCAGAGACTACTGAAACGCACTGCTTCTCAGTTGGCGCTTATGCGCATGGCAGCGGCATATAGTCGGAATCAGAAGTAACACCCGTCTCTTCCCTGAAGTAGTTCGTGTCTTCACCCGGTTTGTTAGGCAACAGCGTAGGAACCACACGTTCACGGCAGTAGCTTTGTTCCGCGGTCAACAGACCGAGCTTCACAGCGACAAGTGGAACGCGCCGGACTCGCACAATCTCGTACTTCCAATTACGCAGGTTGTCAGCGGCGGAGGAATATGGATCGAAGATCCTGCTGGCGAGGCGCAGTGCCCCCAGTACGACTGCAACCTTCCCGGTCGCGTCCTCCACCTCCCAGCCTTGTTCAAGCCCTCACGCAAACACTGCACTGTCCCCTGGCAGGGATCCCTAGCGCAAAGGGTTGTACTCGTTGCTTACACTCCTCGCGGATGGAGCAACTTGCCTTTCCCAGACCAACAGTTGCTAAGAGATGCGGGGTTCCGCATGCCCCACCTGTAAGCAGTGCCACTTGTGTTTGCACTCCTCCCACACGTGATGAGTCGAGGCTTTGAGTAGGGCCCGTAGGTTCCCTGAACTGTCCTGACACGCTGTTGCTTCTGACACTTACCCTCAAACGTTGACGCAACATGTACTTCCAGAAGGGGGGAGTTGAAGAAATACAGGTCTTTCAAGCCCTCTTGTACAGTATCTGGACAGTCATGTTGTTGACCATGGACACATTTGGCTCAAGACACAAAAAGGGTGAATTGCACGTTGTGTCTTGCTTTACGTGTGTACCACGCAAATAACTTTTTGTGTTTTGATTACGTTTTGTTTCATTACTTCTTCTTTTTCTCTCATCTTATTTTCTTCGCAAAAAGTTTCATTACTTCTTCTTCTCTCATTTTATTTTCTTCGCGAAAAACACCACAAAGCGACTCGTGTAGTTTCTTTTTCTTTTCTTTGGTGATTGGGTTTTGTTTTAGTTTTTTGTCCTTCAGGCCCCCTTGAAGGCCCCCCTTCAACCCCCCCTTCAAGCCCCCCTTAAGCCCCCCTTCTTGCCCCCCTTCAAGCCCTTCGACCCTTCGTCCCCCCCCCAAAAAATATGAAATCAAAGGCTTCTACCGCCTAAGTTTCAGGGTTATATCGCTACCCACTTGCCCCTCAGCTCTGTTTTTTCTTAGCCTTGTCCTCTCATTTAGTTCTCTGTTCTTTCGCTACCTGTTGCATTTCCACAGTCCAATTTCCCCGTATTTCCCGCCGAATTTTTTCAAATTTTTAGCCACAGAATTTTTTAACCACCTTATCTATTTTTCAGCATTTATCACCTTATCCATTATAGACAAAGGCTTCTAAGGACAAGCTACCTAATTCATTCCGCTAAACCTACAAATAACAACGTTCCCAAATTTCAACATCTCCACCTTATGCGTTCCCATATTCTTGAATTCCTTCTTATATCGTTGTTTTAATGTTTGTTCTTGTTATGATTTATAGCAAGAAAAAACCTATTTTACTACCCATTCTGTCCCCTCATTCGTTCTAATCTTTTACCAACTTTTTAAGCTTCTGGGGCTTCCCGTGTTATAGTTAGTCCTTTTAGCATGAGTTTTTAACCATCATTACCCCATGCACTGTCATGTTTTTTCGGTGCTTCAGTTATGTTAAAGTCAATCTGTTCTAACCGTTCTGAACTACACATATAGCGATTTCCATGTTTTTGAATGTGTAAAATGTTACCATAGTTGTTCAATAACCGTTGCCTACAGCTTTTCGGATTGCCTTCAGCGTTATAATCATCATCCTCATAGACTTGTTCTTGAAATTTCTCCATGGCTTGTTTAATCGGTATCCAGTGCTCGGTTTTGATTTTTCTCAATCCTTCACAATGAACCAATGACAACAAATTCAACTTGTTAGTCTCTCTTCTATATGGGTTGGTAATCGTTTGTAATTCGTCTATCTTGTCAACTGTTCGACTTTTCTCCTTACATGCAACACATTGATAGGTATAGGAAAAGATTTGACTCGAAATTACATCGGGTAACTTAAGCTCATCAATGACACAGTAGTTTTTGTGTTCTTTGTAATCCTTACACTTACTACAGCATTGTTTTTCATTAGTCACTTCTACTTTGTAGTCCTTCAGGTTAATGATGTCCAAAAACTCATTGATAATCTCTTCCTGCTCAACGTCAGTAAATTTCACTGTCATGACTCTCTTAATTTACTAAGGCGTTTTGTCTTTAAGTCTTTTTGTTCAGTGTTTTTTCTTTGTCTTGGTTCTGTTATTTCTTTCTCGGTTTTTTATCGGGTGTGCTTGAACGACTTCGGCTTGCTCCTCTTTGTAATAACCTTATTGCGTCATTGCTTCCGTTTGCTCTTTCTTCTGGGCTTGCGCTTCTGCTTCTTGACGCCCCTCTTCTCATTAATCCTTGTGTTCGTGTAAATACCCCTTCATTAATAGGTGGCTCGGGCTCTTCATCTTCATCTCCTTCATTTAACCAATTATACGTATCAATACCCGTTTTTATGGTTTGTCCTAATGCTCTACCTGTATGATATAAAGCTTTCCCTCCCATTTTTGCTACAGTTGCTACATCATCTAATAACTGTCTTTCTGGTGAAGGTCTGCCATCGTCACTTTCATCATCATCATCATCTTGTTTTTGAGATGGTGGAACAGAACTATAGGGTGTTTCATTTTGCCTTAACATGTATCTAAATGTTTGTGTCATTTTGTTTCTTCTGTTTTTCATTAAATTCTCATAGTCGCGAGCACCACGTAGCACGCGAGCCTCTGGCGAGTCGTCTTTAACTTGACTATCATATAACCATTCAACGCCTTCAAATTCGGGAAAATCTGCTTGTATCTTTTTATTAGCTGTATCATCAACGTCATAACCCTCAGTATTTAAATAGTTATTATACATTCCTAAAATAAACAGTTCATCATCTTCATCATCAGTTCTTCTTCTCCTTCTTTTTGGTAGTTTATCTTTTACTAAATTTAATCTCCTATTCATATTACTATATTAGAAAATTATACCCCAAAAGCTTTTTTAACTAATGCTTCTCCACCTTTTGCCGCTACTGCTTTCGCAAATGCTTTTCCTCCTTCTAAAGCTACTTCTCCCACGCTTGACGATAAACTTTGACTTTTACTTTTGCTTCTCGTTCTAAACGCCCATTCACGCCTTCGCTTTTCATACATTTCATCAGAAACTGGGTCACTCCATGAACCTTCAACTATTTCATTTCGCACTAATTCAATTAAATATGATTTATAAGCTTTGCTTAAAATTTTGTTTTCTTCTTCTTTAAAACTAATATTTCTTAAGAAAAGTTGATATTCCAAATAATCAACTGTTTGTTGATTTTGTGGTGGTGCTGGTAAAGATGGTGGCGATTGCGGTTGTCTTGCGAATACTTCCTGCCCCTGACTATCAACAAATTCTTCATCGGATGATATCGTATGAACTTCGGCTTTTGGACTCAAAAACGAACTCATTAATGTTTGTGCTCTTTCTTGTAATCTTTGCCCGAAACTTTGGCTTGTTTGTTCTTGTCTTCTTAGTTCTGCTTGTTCTCTCATTGACGTTTCAGCATCCATTCCCGAACCTTGGGCTCTTGCTGTATTAAGTGCTGTTCCGAATTCATCATTTACACTCGTGCTACTGCTTCCCGTTTCACCTCCTCTATGTCGTTCCAAATGATAAGTTTGCCCGTTTGTTTGACTCTGTCGTCTTAATATGGTGTCTCTCATTTGTCTGTCTAATATTCTGTTTTGTTGTTCCTTAAGTAATTCCATAGCATCAGAACCATCAAAGAAACTACCTTGCGGACTGTTTCTAAATCTCGTTGCCTCACGGTTTGGTAGTGGTTGTAACGCTTTTTGGTCATCACTTATTAAACCTACAATCTCCTCAAATGTCGGACGACGTTTTAACCCATACTTAGCATAAGGGTTATTAAGTTCAAATCTTGCTGTTCGTGATACTGTTGTCATTTAATAATATTATTAATTTAGATTATAATATTATTAAACAAACTTAAGTTTTTTTAATTCTTCAATTCGTTTTTCCATGTGCTCTTTTGTTGCATGTGGTAAATTCGGCCTATGCAACTCATTCATTAACCTGTCCATTTCTAACTGATAATTTGCTCTCTTATTGCTTGCTAACAATTCATTACGTCGCAATATGCTCCCTTCTTGTGTTTCTCTTAATTTCATATGATGTTTGAGATGTTCTAAATATCTGGTATCGGTCAACTCAAAGGGACTATACTGTTTTGTTGAAGTGCTTATTTTAAAACCTTTAACATCATCTGGATGCTGTTTTTTAACATATTTACGCGAAAATCTTTTACTAAACATTATATTAACATATAGATAATTTTTTATCTTCTTTTTGCGAAGGTCTCCCGAAAACATATTAGCACATAAGCTATTAACCTTTTCCCTTTTCTTGCTTAAATACTCCTGATGCAAAATATTATAATTATCTAATATGTTTTCATAAGGTGTTTTCATTATAACTTTTTGTGTAGGTTCTTGAATAACTCTTGGCTTAACTTGCTTTAGTTGCATTGGTTCTTCACTTATTACTTCATTTTGTGCTTCTGCTGGTTTTATTGGAACTGCTTTAACTTTTGGTTTAACTTGTTTCTTTATGGGTCTATCTTCTAAATTTCCTTGGCAGTTCTTTTCATGTTTATATCTGTAAGAACGCAGGTTCATCGTTTTGGAACATTTAGGACATGTGATTTTCTTTTCTGCTAACCTTGCTGTTTTGCTTTTTGCTTCTTTTTCTTTTTCCTCCACTGGTATATTGCTTTCCTCTTTGACTTCATTTATAATATCATTTTGGTCTGCTACTTCATTTTGTTCTTCTGGATGCTCTTCGGGGGCTTCTTCAATTGGTTTAACAACCTCTTCTGACATACTATATATTTTATCTATATTTTATTCTTTTTAATAAAAAATAAAATATGGATACTAATTTTCAGAATGGTCTGTTGGCTGGTTTAACGAGTTTAGATATTGTTGATGTTTCTTTGTTTTATAATGGT